TGAGTCTTGGTGTGATGTCTGACCAAGAAGGAACAGAGGAACTTTCCTTATGAAATCTCACGAACATCAATGTCTCAAGTTTCATAAAGGATGTCAATAGTACTTTAAATCACTGCAATGAGCAAGTGAAGCTAACATTGTTACTTTTTTCTTGCCCTGTAGCTTTTTTTCTCTGGGAACTGTTTTGGTGTGAGGTGAACTGTTAATGAGGGTTATTTTTCTGTGGTCACTGAGACTCCCTTCAGGGCCAGGAATATTCAGTATATCCACACTGTTTTACTCAAATTCTGCATAGCCAAAGCAGTTGAAGAAACTTGAAATTGCATGCTCTGTGGTCTGTGTGAATCCCTGTGTTGTACATTGGTGAGTGTAACAACTTAATATAGCCAGAAAAGGAGACAAGTTCTTTTATTGATTACTGTCATCCAACTGTGCGATAAAACTGTCCTTCTGTAATCCAGACATATATTATTCTTAATGCTTTTTTTTTTAAGGTAGCAGGTGTCAATCAGTTGTAGGTGGCATTTTTGGTTTGGGGTTTTTGTGTGTGTGTGTGTGTGGTGGGTTTTTTTTGTTTGTTTGCTTTGTGGATTTTTGCTTTTGTTTGTAGTTTTCTCTTTTTCCTAATTGCATTGACCGTGATGGGAACAGAAGCTCAGAAGGCTCACTTGTTTTGTAAAAGCTGGTGGTGGTTTGAGGCAGGAGCTGCTCCTGACACTACCCAGCAGCTGGTGGCCATTCTGCAAGTAAGTGGTTGAAGGAAAATAGCACAACATAGATAGGAAAAGCTTGCACAGACCCGTCTTCTGGCGGAAGTGATGGGAATGACCATAGGTGCTTGTATGCTCTAGGTAGGCAGCAGCAAAGTCCTGTGATGGAAAGGGATTGAGGGGAAGGGAAAAAGCATTGGGGCTGAATCTCTGTGGATGGGAGAGGGCTGGGAAGATGAGGTGGAAAAAAGACAACCTTTGCACGTGTGGCAGCCACTGACGTGATGCTGAATTTGATGCCTGAAGAGTGCATGTGAGGAGAGAAGGAAGAAAGGTCCAAGCACGTATCTGATTCCTGAAGGTATCCATTTACAGGGCTGCAAATCAGCAGTTGAATCTGTGAGAGGAGAGATTTCTGGCATCATTCCCTCTTTGGTTTGTGAGCTGTCTGTCCTGAACGTACTGGGCACTTGGAATCTCACTGTAAAGACCTTTCCATCTGATGCATGGGGAGTTAAAGCCTTATGGGGTTTGCTGTTTCTTGTTCCTGAGCCAGAGATCTAACTTGAAGGCATTGAAGTGCACAGTTTGGTGTTACTTCAGTCTGAAGTTTAAATCTGTCCCTTCATATTTTGTCAGTGTATGGAGGATCCACACACTGCTTTTAGCATTTGTGACTTTCTTGTGTTTGTGGTGGGATCATGGGACATTCTATGTAGAGTATGAGAGTGGCATGGCTGTGCCATCAGAAAGATCTATTATCATATCGTACTTTAGAAGTTCTCACACTTGGTGAATAGTTCTGTTTTCTACTTTAAGAGCTCCACTAAAGGTCTGTAGCTGCACAAATATAGTTGCATTAAATAATGGAATTTAGCTGTGGAAAAAGATGCTTCTAGGTCATCTAGATTATGGCTTCTGAAATGTTCACTTGAACGTCCCTTCAGAAAATAGCATGACATAGTACTGCTATCACTGAGCTGCAGGAAATGCACATGAGCACATCTGTTTAGTACAGGTGGTACAATTGGAATGAGGTGGGTTGATAGTTAAAATCCAGCTGGCCAACATGTGGCTGTGGCTAACAGCAGGACACATAATGTTCCCCTTCCTCAAGAACTGTATCTATTTTTTCTTTGCTCCAGTTCCTCATAAATACCTTGGTTTTGCTGCTCTGTGGCTCACAGACCTGTTTTCAAAGTCCTGGTAGTAGGTATCACCAAAATACTTCTGTTGTTTCTGCCTGTACCTCATTCCAGGTTTGTGGATCAGGAAGCATTTTGCCAGTTCCTGATATTTTTATGTCAATTTAGGCCTTCTGCAGCCTTCTGTCACATCCATTCGTGGTCTCTTTCTGTTACATTATTCTGCCCTGAAATGCAACCTGCTGCAGGGAATACCCCCTCTTCAGAGAGAGATGCACCCTGCACCAGAGTGAAGTAACACATCTCCTTAACATTTTGTCCTTAAAAAGAGGAGCAGGTGCCTGAGCTGGTGTGAACTAGCTATCCTTACATGCAGCTGTACACCATAGCATCCGTCAGGATATAAATCCCTCAGTTTCTAGTGCAGAAAAGAGAGACACAGCAGTGGAATAGCTACCTGGGTTTGCTTTGCTCTCACCAGCGCACAGCAATATGTGCATGTGCTGTGTGAGTAGCTGAGGCACAGTACTTGCTGCTCCACAGCAACACTTCTGCATAGTGAGGTGCAGTGCTCAGTGCAGACAGGCTGAACAAACCGCTTTGTGCAGTCGTCTTTATACTCAAGCCCCATTTATTGTTGCCTTGCCCTCTGGCTGGTTTGAGAAAAGCTGAACTCCACGGAGCATGTTGTCTTGGCAGTGCAGCAACCAGGACTCTTGTCCAATCTTTGTTTAAACGTCAAGAGCTGCAGCCTCCAATCCTTCCCCTGGGGACGTGGGTCAGCAGTTCTGACTCTCAGGACGTTTCCTTAATGCTAACCTTAAACTTTCTGTTTTTTGTTAAATTTATCCCATTACATCTCAGCTCTTACAGACCCATGCTTTTGTTTTGACTAATGCTAATATCCTACTGGTATATGAAGAATATTAACAACTTTACACCTTAGGTTAGGTGTTTAAGTCCTGCGTGTATGTTGGTATTGGTAGCCTTTCTTTGTAAGGGTAGTTGTTTCAGCCCCAACTCACGTTTTTGCGTGTATATGTTAATTATGTTGTGTAACAAGCAATTTCAAGCAATGAATAAGAAGTTTGGAGTATTTTGCAGGATGGCTGGCACTACACTCACGCTAAATAACTACTGCTGTGTTGGGTCACGATCTGAATGCCTGGGGCCCAGGACTTCAGAGTATTTCATAAAACGTCTTGATGTCAGTTGTTAGTCGTCTTATGAAACCTATCCTTCTAGACATCCTGCTGCATTGTTTGTCTGAAAGTGGGGTAAGCTGCTGTGGGAAATTGTTTTCCCAGCAAGTTTTAATTGGTTGCTGGGAATTACTAAATCACTGGCTATTATTAAGAAAAGGCTTGTTGCTGTGTAAAGGTATAATGACATATTTTTGTGACGGTGGGAAGAAGTGAAGGTGCTAGAGAGTTGCAGGCTTTACTAGGTGCTTTCCATGTCTCTGACTTACCTGAAGATGAGGTGGACTATCTTTAGATTTTTTACAGTGAAATTGTGAATTTATATTGAATTTCTTTTTTGGCTAAGACAGTGTGCAAGCGAGGTAAAAATCATGAAGCTGCAGAGTAGTCACTGTAGTTAGACCTGTTAGAAGTTGGTGAAGAAGCAACAAATCCCAGTCTATTACAAGGAAGAATCCAACACTATTTGCAATGAAGGCTTAGTAAGGATTTTAGAAGACTTTTCTTAAAGCTTAGGCTTTTTCTTCTTCTAGTCCCTGTAGGATAAGTATGGCCTGGAAATAACTCTTCAGTTAAATATGATGGATACTGTTTTGGTATTTGGATACTTGTTGCTATTATGATTTTTTCCAGAACTATAAGGGAAGAGTACCATTACCTCCCTGCTTCATACTATATTTGTAATGTCAAAACCTTCTGGCTTTATTTCCATGCTGTCTTGGTAGTATTAAGTTTTGATCTGTCTTTTGTAAGAGGTCTGTCTTGTGTTACTGGTAGTCCACAGGGAGCTGTCTGTATGTGTTAGATATCTGAAACAGTCTGAAAAAAAATGGAAATAATAAAATTATTTTCTTAAACCTTTCCCACATAAGCAGTTTTATATCCATGGGATTATTTATAGGGAAGGAGATGTGAAACATCACAAGACCAGCTTTCTAATTCAGTTTTCAAAGTCATTTGTGAGGTAGGAATTGCACAGTAGATGATTCGAGTTACCAGACAACACATGTTATCAGAATCAAGCTAAGGAAATATGGATTACGTGAAATGCTCTCAGGAATGTTTGCAGCTGCTGAGAAAAACTGAGAGGATTGCTAAATGAGCAGTCGGAGAAAAACTGAGAGTTGCTAATGAGTTTCAAATAAGACAGGAGAATTAATACTTGCTATTATTTGATGTAGGTGAAGGAATGAGAACTCTGTTCTTTCAATACCCGATGAAGATGGGTGGAGCTGCGTGTCTATTTGAGAAGATGCTTTGAACTTAGTTACTTTGACAGATTGGAGAAGGAGGCTGGAAGGAGGGGTTGGGCGGGGTGGAGGGGCAGCTCTGGGGCAGGAAGTTTTGGCTGTATGCCTGCAGACTGCACACAGTGGGCCCAGCAGCAACCACTGCTCACAGCCAGGACATGAAGCAAGAGTCATCCTGTTGCAAAAGCAAATGCACTGGAGTTTGTATGTAGGATTATTATCTGTGACTCATGGAAGAGTAAAGGATGTTCTTCTGTAAAAAGAAAATAGTCTTTTCCGTGTAGGGAAGGATTCAGCTGCGACACTTTGTCCAGATTTGGGCATCACCTCGTACTGGTTTTGTGTGGAGAGTAGCAACTAGAAGAATCAGAAATGTAGAAAACTACACCTAAGTAACCATCTAAGCCTCTAAAACCCATCTAAGCAGAGCGTGAAAGAACTGGGTTTTATTTAGTCTGGAGAAAAGACAGGGATGTACTGACGAATTAGTATTCAAACATGAGGTTATAACTGTGGAAAGAAGAAAAGGATTATTTCTTCAGAGTCCAGTGCAGAGGGAGACTTGATAAAGGGCTTGAGCTGCACAGAGGGAGATATGGTACTTTAAGTGCCAGGACAAGCTTTCTGGCAGTAAGGGTTGCGCAGAGTGGAAGGGGGCTCCTGTTGAGAGTCTGTGGAGCCTCTGTTATGCACAGTCTGAGCTCTTGATCCTATCTAGCTGCCCTTTTCCAGGACCCTGGCAGATCTTTTCTCTGTGACCATCTCTGTTTTTTGAAAATCGCAGCATAGTGTGTGGGACGGTTTGAAGAGAAAAACATGAAGTGTTGTTTTCAACCAGCACAATTCTTGTTTTGGTGGCTTGGCTGTTGGTAAGTACTATGGTAAATTACAGAGAGAGTGATAGTATAACAGTAGTGATAACTGCAAAAATAGATCTGTGTTCCAAATGGCCTTCTGTTGTTAAAAGTTGTATTTTAAGAAATATGTCTTGCTGATGCTTTTTTCCCTGGTGACGCTTAGTTTCCAGGCAGTATTTATGAAAAGCTACTGTGCATTTCTACGTTTTATTTTCTGTGTCTACGCTGTTCATTAGTTCCTGTGATTTTTTATTTGTTTGTTTTTCTGTTTCTTCATACCACAGTTTCTGTTGCCGACCCCTTACTTTTTCAAATGCACCTGGAGAGTACAAGTGTGGTGTCTCTTGACACAGTGTGTGTGGAGGGAAGGGTGAGCATCTCCTGTACATTCTTTACCCTGCTTCTGAACTTGCTTTCATGGGGAGGTTGGTACCATTCCAGGCTGGGGGGCACTCTTTCCTTTTCTTTTTGTCTACTGGGGAAGACCCCTCTGATCATTAATTTGAGGTAATTTAGTTTAATGTTTCCCAATTGATATGTTAAAACTAGTTTTCAAAAAGGGAGGGGGAAAATGGTATTTTGTCGGGGAAACTATACTTTTTCATCCTATTTTGTATATTTTTTCATGCTTGTGAAATAAGCAAAGTTGGGACTGAAGATTATGACTGTATACTGTAAGGATTAGAGAAGAAAAAAATTTTTAGCTCAACCTTTCAGTATTTCAGAGCTCATCTTGGCATTTAACGGAGCAAATAAATGTGTTTTTAATGAAGAGTTCAAAAATATATTAGTTTTGTGGTTCAGCTGGGAGGCAAAAGCTGTGGTTTTGTTCACACTTGAAAGTTGTAGGCTGTGTTGCATTTTAATGATGCCATTTGAGCTGCCACAACCAGGGCTTTGCCTGTGTTTCTATAGAAAATGTACGTTAAACGGGTTCAATCAGAACACTAAAGAATTATCCCGTAATCAAACACCTCGTAAGAAAAATTTGTTCAAAGTCACGTTTGGGAAACTTAGCCAGCCATTTATTAATTATTTACTTCTTTTCTTCGCTTGCCCTCCCTTCCCCAGTGCATTTTGTGGGTGAGGCTCTTGGCATTTCTTAGCTGGAGGGTAGAGGCAGAGTACCAGGCAGAGTAATGCCAGGCAGAGCAGCAGTTTGGCCTTTAAAGCGAGTCCCTCTGGTCATCCCCACTCCCCGTGGGTCTGTTGGGCACACGGTCTTTCTGCTGCACATGAGCTGGGTCCTTCTGGATGGAACCTGGAGGCTCCCATCGATGCTGGTGCCAAGTGCACTGCTGTTTCCTGCTTGTGGGCCCTGAGGATTGCTTCAGGCGGTGTGTGTGGTGGTGGCAGAGTGCTTATCTCAAGTTAAAAACCCGACCCACGTAGCATGATTCATGTTTCAGCAACCTTGGCACTGGTACTGCTTTGATCTACAGATCTTCTTGCATTGCTCAAACTTAATTGCTTAATGTGAGGTATAGCGAGTGTATAGAGAGTGTCAAGGAGATGGGAAGAGGAATCTAGGATGATTTAAAAAAACGACAAAATGAAAAACCCCAAACCAACCAAACACCTCCTGCCTCCCTACAAAAAAGAAAAAAAACAAACACACAAACACAAAACCCCCAAAGACAAAATTAAATCAAAGAAAATTAATATAGCCAAAACTTTAAAATTTTGTACAGTCAACAAACAGGAGATATAATATATTGTGTGTTCCCCTTCTCCCTCTGCCTCCTCCCCTCCCCCACCTCAGATTGTAAGGAAATGTTTTCCTTTGATGCCACAGCTTAAGTTGAGCAACAATAGTTGTAATAAGTAATGGGATCTGTGCCACTCCTCAGTGGATGGGTGGTTGTATCCTTTTCTTGTACTGCAGATGGGTGGAGAAGCACAAATGTTAGGGCATGGTGCTGACACTCTGGCCAGAAACTGCCTGATTTTGGTTAGAAAAATATTGTCATCTTCCCCGTTTTTTATTCCTTTTCTTTTGGTGGGATATGCAGTGATCAGTTCCTTGGTTTTTACTTGAATTTTTGCTCTCTAATACTTTCTTCTCCACCTCGTAGCTGTCCTGTTTTTTTAACTTCTTACTCCAAGGCATGGGGCAGACTGCCTGCTAGGACAGACCCTGGTCGAGCTGCTGACATCTCTGAGGAGCTGCAACTAATCTGTTGGGTGTAACGACTTTAATGCTTTTGCCATGTACATTACAATAGGGCACAAAACATAAATGTGCTGGATCCTGCAGGAAGGGAATGGGGCAGTTGGTGGAGGCAAAAATTCCTTCTATTCCCATAATTAATACTGCTCAAGGCTCTGGACTAGATTAAAAAGGGTGAGTAAGCAGAATCCCTGCCAGGGAAGCTGAGCTATCTGGGATTGTCAAGGAGAGGTCTGAAGGAATGTCGTGAGGAATTAAACCCAGAGCCACATGGAGCCTTCCGTCTTTACTTACTTTGCTTGTCCTCCTATGCATTTATAAGCATGCTTGATTCATAGAAGACCCTCTTGAATGACAAAAGCATCAGTGTATTTGGAGAAATCGACACCTTAAGCCAGCTGAATAAGTGTGCAGCTATCTCAGCTATCTGAACGTGCTTGGTGTTTTCGGTTTTGGTGTTTTTTGGTGTTTTTTTTTTTTGTGTTCTCAAAACAGGGCAGAGAAAATACTAATTAAAGTTTCATTTTGTTCGTATTGGTAAAGTTGGTTCCCGTTCAGGTTAGGAGGGTGGCAAAATCAACTTTGAGGTTATTCTTACAAATTAATTTTTAATTGTAGTACTTAAAGCATTTATATTGTAGTATGCGCACAATACGGCTGATCCACTTTGTTTTTCTACATATTAAAGTGAGAATTATGGAATTTAAAGCTTTATATTATGGATGTGTCATTTACTTATGAAACTTGCAATAAAAAGATAATACACCCTTCACTTACTTGCCAAAAATTAAGTTGTAGCTCAAACTTGAAATGCCTGGTGTCACTCCTACTACCTAAATAGCACTCCTTTCATTTTTTTAGGAGCTTGTGATGTCATCAGCTGAAGCGAAAACATCTACCTCATGACCTGGCATGTAAGTGAAGGAGGAACTGATATCTAAAAATAAATAAATGTGTGTGTTGGTGTTTACAATGTGTAAATTGAACCTATGTACCTTCAGCTTTCAGATATCTCCTTTTAAATGAAAGCTTTTTGAATTTTAAAGAAATAAAAAGTCTTTTAAAGGGGAGAAAGTCGTAAAAGAAGCTGTTAACATTAAGATTTCAGCCTGCAGAACTCTGTGTAATAATCTCAAAATCTACCTTGATGTATCCAATAATACTTGGAAGGCTGGTAGGCATAGATGGAATAATTTTATCTTACCACAATATTTACATGTGCTGCTTCTACTCCTTTTTATCCTGTGCTTCTTTTCTGGATATAAATTCTGGTAGTTGTGATGAATGCGTAATATACACAGTGATACCCTTCCTAAAATTAAAAAGTCTAGTTGTGCAGAAGGTTTAGAGTCTTTTATGTACTCAAGACACTTCATAGTGAACTTTCTGCAGCTTTGTGACACTTCTATTTTTTTCCCTAAAGTAAGCAAAAATATTTCAATCCTCTGCAGAGGCGTTTTCAGAGGTTCTTTTTTTTCTTTTTTTGTCTGCCCACTCTCTGCTTTTCTTTTATGTGGCTTAGAGGATTAAAGTGCAGTCACTGCTTTGAGGGGCCGATGTCAGTGGTAAGCTGGGTTTTCCTAATTGGTGCCAACACCTGTCCCTCATTATGAAGCCTCGTTCAAGCTGTCCGGTGAACCGAGGTAACCAGTCTCCCTTACATGTCTCTAATGTGATTATAAAGCCCTCTCCTGATACGAGTTTTATTACTTATTCGACTTTTGGAGTGATATGGAAAGTGAAGCTAAGCTGAGCCATTTGGCTGGCTAACAAAGATCATAAGGAGTGGCAAAGAGAAGGATGCAGTCATCTCAATTTCAAGACTTTTCCTTCAAAGCTTGCTTCTGCTTTGACTGTTTAAACTGAAACAAAACAAAAAAAGAGGAGGGGATGGTTTTTTGTTGTATTTGGGTTGTTTTTGGGTTTTTTTTCTTAGTTTTCAGTGTCAGATACTCTGAATTTAGAGACCAGATCTACAGATTCCAGCTGAGCTGTGAACATCTGAGTGCAGCTGCTATTGTGCATAACCCATTGATTTTCTGCAAATAGAGCTTTGGCCTTGACTACTCTTGCACCATCTCTTTGTCTTCAAGGGGTCAGGGCTTAGCAATTCTTTTCTACACAAAACAGCATCAGCCTCTCCTCCCACCTGATTCTGCGATGCATTGTGCGTTACCATTGCAGTTGGAAAGTATGACCTCAGACAGAGGAAATCAATGGCTTAGATGAGATGGATCACTGTCATGTTTGGGCTTTACAGGCAAAAGTTGATGTTACATGGTTACATTCTTCTGAGTAGTTTAAGTATGTTTTTAAGAGTTTATCTTGCAGAATTCAAGTGTGCAGAAGTGCAACATGCTGGCTGGAGGTTTTGGGTTATTTCCCTGTGAGGGAGGAGAGAGACAGAATAACTTCAGATGTGTGTCTTGGAAAGGTTTGAGATAATAAACCTGTAAGAATCACATGAGAACACTGTGCTAGTTATCCAGATTTGGAAAAAAGGAAGAAAATGAAAGTGTAGTTGATTCTTAAACTTTAGATGTGGAATTGGTAGCCTAGTTATTAAAGGGATTGAAGATCTGCAGATTTGAAAAGAACTCAAAAGAAAATCCTGAATGAGTAGTGCCCTAAGTTGCATGTAGAATATATTTTTACAACATGTTTATTTGGTTTCTCTTAAAAAAAAAATCATCAACTCGAGCACATTAGGAGTGATCTCATCTTTTACTTAATAGTTTTTACCAAAATAGCACTTTACAGTGAACAGCAATTAACAAACTCTTCAGGGCAACAGTATGTCAACTGTCAGAATCTCTGCTAGTTGTGCTCATCATAATCAAAATATACTCATTTCAGTATTTATCATGGTCCTATAGACCACCTATCTGATCTGTAGTCCACACAGGTCAGGTTAGGAAGTGATATATTAAAGAACAGTAAAATCCATCCCACAGAGATGAGTTAGGAGTTACCAGTATGTCTGGTTTCAGATGAGCTCCCTTATTGCACTAGGCCAATTGCTGTCTCTGATAATGGTCCACAGTGGACACCTAGGGAAAGAAAGCATTATAAAGCTCTTGTAGACTCAGTTTCTTGTAAAATTTTGACTTGGGGATTTCCAGCAGATTGGCATGACATGTTGTGTTTAATAGCCCTTGTTCTCCAGTTGCCTAATTTTCTTCAATCTGTTTGCTTTTCAACCTCTGCAATACCCTGTAGCCTGCAGTTTCTCTAAGTAATTTTGTACAATACAGCTTTTTTTTTTTCTTTTCTTCACTTGATTACTTTCCTTTGAAGTTTGTTCTGTAACTTTTTGTGTTCCTTGTCTTCTGGGCCATGAAAAGCAGTGAGCAGTCTCTTAATCCTGTTTGCTTCTCTTTACCACTTATGACAGATCTCTCCTATTCTGCACCCTGCTTTTTTCAGCTAGTCTCAGTCTGTTTAATCTCTTACCTTAAGGCCATGGCATGCTTGCCTTACAGCTGTAGTTGGAAGTTCACATTCTGCAAATACTTCTCTAGTGGTGTGGAGGGGAGCTACAAGATGCTCCCTTGCTCTTAGCCCGAATGAGTGATCCACTCGAATGAGTGATCCCCTCATGTTACTCATCCACAAAGCTTTCTCGGTGTAGCCAAGTGGGTGTAGCAAATGAAACCAGACAGTACTTGTATTAGTGCTTGTCACCTTTCCTCTTGGGCCTTACCAGAAGGATACCTCTCTTGCAGCAATGTACAGTTGTCTGTGCTGTTCTCTTCCTACGGTAGTTTTTGCTACAGGTGATTTTGGCAATGCCCGAGTATTTTTAAAGGCATTCAGGTAGCGGGTGCTGTGGTGTAGCTGTGTACATGTTAACTGGAAGCCATAGTTCATGTTGGGATAGGCAACAGCACTTGGCCTTCCTGGCAGGGATGTCCCAGGGAGCAGATGGACAGCGCCTGCTCCCACGTTGCAGCTTCAGTGTGAACAACCTACCACTTGTGCTGTTGCAGAGCTGGGGAGGTGGATGGCAGAAGAAGAGTCTTGGGTGCCTTTATTCTGCCTCAGTCTGAGCACAGGGTTGGCTGTGCCTTCTCTCAATTGCAGAGCCCCTGATAACTCACAGAGCTGCAGCCTGCCCCATGTCCGGTGTCTGTGTGAGGTAAGAACCTGCAGAGAAGGAAGCTTCTTTACAGCTTTATGAAAACCTCACTGACCATGTAGAGTTGCATGTAGAAAACATCAACTGTGGGTTTTGGATTGCATCACAGTCTTAAGAGTGACACTCCTGTAGAGGTAGTTTGGTTTGTTTTGTTCAATTTTATAGTTGTACTTCCAGTTGGAATCTCTTTTCTCTCCTTGTTTTTTGGCAGAGGTTTTATTACTGCTCTTGACAACACGAGATTCAGTTGCAACAGCTGCAGCATCTTGTAGCTCTTACCTATGAATACACATAGGTGTCCTGGTGAAATACCTCCCTACTTCTGTGGCTTGCAGGCATTTCCATTCTTCCCAGGACAGGACTGCAGAGTGGACAAAGAGATCTGCTTTGGGGTCAGACTCCTTATCTCACACCCCAGCTGCTTTGGAAGGTCAGCTGTGATAGTTCCTTGTCCTCACAGGATGGAAAGGGTAGTGTTCTCCTGTACTTTTGTACTCCACCTGTTAAAGTCCCCATGCTCTGTGATCCACCCTGTGGTTTGGCACCTTTTCTCCTGTGCCGCAAAAGCCACCTCCATCTACTTACTCAGCTTCAACACAGCTTAAGAAGGACGTACTTTCTACTAGGAACAGTAGATAAGTGGTAATCTAGTCTTACTCATTTAAATTGTTTATTATTTCAACAGGAAGGAAGAGGAGAGAGGAATTTAGAGGAAATGTTAATAGTCCTGATCAGTGCATCCCCTCATTAAAAAAATAAAGAAGTGCTATGAATTCAACTTTGCCATTTGATGAGAAGTTGAACCTTATGTGGTTTTCAAGATGCATCTCTTGACTGCTTTCCCAAACAAGACATGATATTTTAGAAACCTTGGGCAAATACAATCATCCTCTGGTTCCTCTTTCCAGGGCGGTGTCATCCCCAGTGGGCAAGTTTGCTATTTATTTAGCCAATGCTGCACCTTGTGTTATGACAGAGAAAAATAGTAATTTAATTTTTTTGCCCCTAGTCTTTACATAAAAATGGCCAAACATCAGTCAGCCACAGTATCTCTTTCATAATGTTTTTTCCCATCTCAGTTTGGTGATTTAGAGAAACCTGGAGTGGTATTTATGTTTTTATAAATCCATTTTAAGTATCTTTGACTAAAAGACTCCTCAGCGTCCTTTGGCATGTTGCATATTACAGATTGTAGCATGTAACATTAAATTAATTGGCCAGATATTAAAATTAATTTTAATTCATTAGTTATTAGGACAGATTTTGCTGTCTCTTTAAAAAGTTTTTTAAACTAAGAAGTATTTTAAGAAATCTTAGAGTAAATGTTTGCTCATGCCGTGATGTTTTGACATGGAGAACCAAAATAATAGTGCAACCACATATATACATATTATGAGAAATGCTAGAAAATATAGTAGTATCTTAGTATTCAACCAATGATTTAAAGTATTTAAAATACTGTTTAGAGTTGTGGCTGTGACAGTTCATTTCCTTTAATTGTTTCTATCCAATGATAGTGCACCCTCAGTGCACTCCTTTTACTTGAAGAAAAGTTTAGTATCCAGGCTGCTTATTTCAACTTGTAAATGAAAATAATTTTTTGTCAGATAAGGAAAGAAATTATCAACTTAATGTTTCCTATGTGAAAATATTTGTCTTCTTGCTTTGAGTAGAGTCTAAAGATGCATCTTGATATTTTCTGCCTTTCACAATCCTCAGGTTTTGTTAGTGAAGCAAAATTTTGCAGTAAAGTGGTTAGCCTCTTCAAAGCATTGT